ATATTTAGTTTGGACGCATTTTCAAAAAAAAAAAATGAAAATGTGGGTCCAAACTTTTGACTGGTACTGTATAAAAGAAAAAAAAAAAAAAACTCTTGAGGGATCAATAAAGTATCAATCTATCTATCTATCTATCTATCATCTAAAGCGGCATGAGTGTGTTATTAGAATTCTTTAAAAAGGTGCGCTGTGAGATGGCTCACCACCCGCTCAAAACAAAAGGGTCAGCGTTTCATCTCTACGAGCCGGGTCCATCCATAAAATCACACTTCTATCTTTAAACCTTCAAGAGTGCCGTCGGCCTAACCTCGAGGTTAGCCATCTGTGCGTTTTACTGGGACACTAACTGGGGGGGCGGGGGGTGAGGGGGGGGTCAGGGGCGTGGTAGCGTCCTGATATCAGACCCCCCGGCCCGAGTGGTCTCCTTGTGGCGGGGAGGACGAGGTGTCGTCTTTCCTCGTTTGGGGCCATTTTGGATTCAATCCGAGTGAACAAACCATCAAACTGTACAGAGGCCATGGGTGTAAGCACCATTATGCAGGTGTAAACGTGTCACAGTTCAAGTCCTGTGGCAGTAGGGTATGAAAATACATTTTAGGAGGCAGGGTTGGAAAGTCCTAAACCACTTACTTTACATAAAGTTTCATCTATTTGTTTATTTTCCATTCACTTTACAAAGAAAGTAAATTTCAAATCAAAACGGAACGTAAAAACTTACACCTCAGTTTCTCTCTCACATGTGACTTCAGTTGCTTAAAAAAAACGAAAAAGTATCACAATATTTTAGAAACATTGGGTAGAAATTCATTGGCATGGTTCCACATCCTGTGCTCACCACAGCGCGGCTGCGGGCCGCTTGCCTCTCCAACCAATCGGATACCCCCCGCGGGGAATTTATTTATAGCTAAAAACACATAACCATGGGACTGGGCTGAGTGCAGTCACTGGGAGAAAAGGTCAATGGCAGGCATCACTCCTGTGAGACACTTGTGTCTCAAATCAATTGCCCGCCTCACTCCCTTCTGACCGGTCATCCGGCTTGCCTCATCCTTGCTGCGTTCACCCTCAGTCTCTCCCAGGTGTTGCCGTAGCGATGAGGGGAGCCACCTGAGGCCTGGCCCGGAGCGCTAATTGGCGTGGTGGCAGTCTCTATGGTAGCAAAAAAGGTAAACAATGGGCCAGGTAAAGCGTCTCCATGGTTATACACTCGTAGCGGCTCCTAGGAGTTGTAAAAAGAGGCAGTTGGGGGGGGGGGGGGTGCACTGATGACGCAGGCTCTTGTGCGCAGTACAGCTGAAGGTACAGAACGCCGGTCGGGATGCTAGTTCATGCTAAGCTATTAGTTGGCTTTCATGTGGCAGGCTGATATTTAGAGAGCTGGCAAAGTCCATAATAAATAACCACAAAGTAACCAGGCTGAGGGAGCTAGTTGACGTTAGCGGTTAGCGGCCGGTGGGAATCACTGTCCTGGTTAAATAACTGAGCTAACGGCCAACGCTAACAGGTTTCTCTTTGGGGCCATTACACAGCGTTCAGGCTCTATTCGCTACCAATTTAAATCAGGCAAAGATATCTTTAGACTGGCAGATTCAAAAGTAATCTTGTAACACTAGCTCCAAGCAGCATAAAATGCATGAATATAGTTAGTAATAGCCAAATCACTAATTGAAATAAAAACATAATTAATGACATCTTAATTATTTGTTCCTATTCAAATAACCCCTATAGATGACAATAACAGAGTAAAATTATTGTTTGGGTTTTTATCTAACCGCTATCGGCGGATACACAAGTTCAGATATTGTGCCTGGAAAGGAGAAACTGGAACTTCTCCAATGCAGATTCAAATAAATGACTAATTAGCGGCAACATTCACCACATTGCACTCGTTAATATTGAGCTTACGGTTAATACTGAACCGAGCTGATGAGGGACAATCCCCTTATTGAGCAGAGGGTTCATGCTGATGGAAACGTGCATTCCAGCAAGCTGACCCGTTGGCTCTCCTGCATTCCATCCGCAGAACTAATCAAATCGCACCATCACAGCCTCCAACCTCCTGGTCTGCACCTGAAAACGCTCCTTCCCCCATCTCTACTCTCAGTAGTGTCAGTCCCGGGCACTCACTCATCTGAGAGTCCACTTAAAATCGACAATACGGCTTAATTTGGTCAACGGACCACAAACCACTTATCAACCTCATCACAGCGCAGGGGGTGAGATGTGGCTTCACTCATTGTCTCTACTTTTCCATCGACAAATATTCTGAGATTATTAAATCATTAACTTCTGTGAAAAGGTTGACGAGAATCACAACATTATCCGCATCTGTACTTTGCAGCGACTCTTCTAATCGGGAAAAAGAAAAACGCCAAAGAGTGCTTTAATCCCTGGTTGCCCGTGCACTCGCTAAACGCCGCTCATGATGTAAAGGAGTTGCCTCTGGCAACTCCTCACTCGACACAATGACACAAATGGTGAAGGCAAGCAATCACCATCTGTTAGAAACCAGATCCGTTTGTTGACCTATAAACACCATCTCTGTTTGATGTAAACCCCGCTCCCAAACACAAAACACAAACACCAGAGGCTACATTCTTATCTCTGCCGAAAACTCACAGACCTGAAACTCAGTCCCGATCGAGCCCCCCCACACCCCACTGCTACGGCTACATGCACAGTGGGATGAGGTCCTGCTTCGGATTATCACAGACGCCTGGAACACATGAAAATGAACTGTGGTTCACATCATGTTCAGGGCCATGTGACTGAAACATGCACGCAGAAAGGCGCGTGACGTCTCTCGGCTGATGCTCTTGGAGGGGGACAATGTGAGAAATATAATCTCTCATGCAAACGAGGAGGATACAGTCTCTTCCAATCGCCCCTCTGATCTCTCGGTCTGCTTGTACTGCGAGCAAACCTCACACGGACGGTTGCACGAGTGCTGTAACGGCCACCGGGCGAAGAGGCATTCGCTTTTACTCAGGTCAAACACTCGGCCCTCCGCGGCCTAGAGCGAGCAGAGACAAAGGTAAAAAAGAAAAATGGCCTTCTGACCACATCTCTTTGACCTCTGTGGAAGACGCCACAGGGTCAAGAGAAGATGGGATGGAGACTTCAGGGAGGAGTCGGCAAAAGGGGATCCGACGACTCTTCACCGAGCTGCGCAGATCTGACGTGACGGTAGGAGGATGTTTTTATCAACGAGGGTCGGCAGGTAAACTACAGCGATGGACTAGAAGCGGAATCATTGCATGTAGGAGCTTTTTCAAGGCCTTCTGGGTAGTTTCTGAGGAGACCACCGCTCTCTGTGATGTCAGGCAACAATATTAGTTCAAGGTATCCAATAGGTTCTGGTTATTGGACAAAGTCTGCAGCGATCAATCCAGAAAATGTCCGATTGTTATCAAGCAGAAATACCAAACCATATCTAGTCTCAACAACTCAGATAAAAGTTATGCTAGTATGATATGCTGTTTGATAGTAACTAATTCATTGACGGTTTTTATATGTAATGAATGATTAGCGGACCATTTTATTGAATACGATCCTGCACTGCTTTTTACGCTAAGCAAGCCCATCATTAAATGAATAACATGTGGGGCGGGTTTGGCCTTAAGTTAAGGGGCCTAAATAACTGGAGGAAGTGAGCACCGTTTGTTCTCCAGCACCGAAGACAAAGGATGCAGGCCAAAGATTTCATCAACATGGAATGACCTTGTGACTTTAGTTCAGCAGGAATCAGTCTCATGACTTCCACTGTCACATTTGACCAGACTTTTAGCAGAATCACAGCATGTAGGAGCTTTTTTTTTTTTCCCCTCTTGCGTGTGCCCATACAATTCATTTCACAGTTGGAACTATTTTTGTTGGGCGGTCCTAAAAATAAAAAAAAGTAACGTATAAAACAAGGTCCTTTATTTAAAACAACAACAAAGTACATGTGGCCTCAACACAACAGTTAGAGCCAAAGAAGTCTGTCAGCTGTGCAGTAAGCATGACGCTGATGCTGCCGGTCCGTGTTTGATTGGGGCTTACAAGATCATCTTTGAGTGTACTAAAATGTACATTTAAGTGAGCAGGGAGGATTTATCTGTCTTAGCAAAGATGACGGCAAAGTGTGCGCGCCTGCTAACTAACATCTAAACGTCAGTCACTGGAGCGTGAAGATCTACGGAAAGATTTGAAAGAAAAGAATGGATTTTTTTTTACTGCAGTGGTGTTGGCTCGGTGTGTCGATACGGGACTGACAGGTGGGACAGCACAAATGTAAATGTGCACTCAAGTAGGCAAGAGAATTATGCAAACAGTCTCGGTTTCTCCCTCCTCAGGCACAGAGAAGCGAGCGAGCGCACACACACACACACACACACACACACACACACACACACACACACACACACACACACACACACACACCTCCAAGTATAATGGCAAGCATCGGGCCATACACTCTGCCCCTGTAGGTGTCTTTTTCCACACTTGTCATTCTTCCCTCTCCTAAAATCAATACTACAAGAGGAGGAGAGGGAGGAGGAGGAGGAGGAAGGGCGGAGGAAAGAGAGCAGGAGAAGTAGTAGGAGAAGAGAGTTCTCCTTCTCTCTCAGGCCACATGAACGCCCAGTAAAGTCCAGGTGGAGACCATTACACACCTGTATTATACACCTGTATGACTCCCCTGCTCCCCCGCGTGCATCTCAGGACAATATTCCTCCTCTAACTTGACTGGTTCAAAGATGTAAAGTTTATGTTAGTTGTTTCACACGTCAACAAAAACGTATAACGACTGTTATCCAACAATTGGGCCTTCAATGGCCATATAATGGAAAAGCACGGCAACCCCACCCTTAGGTGCTACACCTGTAGAGCTAGTGCATTACTATATGTGATGCGGTTAAAAAAAGAATGAAGACCCCCCCCCCCCCTGTCACTTTCCTGACACCAAGCACATATTTGACGTAGGGCGACCATTGACGACTCCCCCCCCCCGTATCTACCTGTGCCTCGCCGGTGCCGCTGTCTCTGTCCAACTCCCCGATGTAGTACTGCTCCATCCACCGCCGCGCGTTCTCCGAGTGCCGGTGCGGGGGTCCCTCCATCTCCGGGCTGACGTCCTTGCCCGACCGCCGAAGTAGAAGCGCCTCACCGCCCGGGTGCATCCGCAGGAAAGAGGTCACGTCGTAGACCCGGGTCCCCAGCAGCACCCAGCAGGAGTCCTTGGTGCAGTGGCGGGCCACCTCCTTCTCCGCAAGGAGCCGCGGGGACGTGGACGTGGACGGAGACATACTGAGCAGAGGAGATGCGGACTGGCGTCCTACGTGAAACCGAGAGCTGAACACGGGGTGGGAGCGGGGGGGGGGGGGAACACAGACCTCCACGGAGGGCCGTCGACCTGACAACTGGCCTGAGAGTCCAACTTTGCCGATGACACCTCGGGGCACTAAAAGTCTAAATGGCGAGGGGCGTGGTTTGTGAGGCGTTCCCATACTCCAAAGATATCGTAGATACAAGTTATTAACGTTGCCCGCAGCCTTCAGTAGTTTTGAAACTCGGAAAGCCCGAATAATGTGCCGAAACGGAAGGTCGCTATCTATTTTTAAATAAAAATTGTGTGTTTCCAAAACAAGTTTTCAGGTTGGGAAAGCTGGGAATTGACGAGTTTGATTTACGGCTGTCAAAACCTACAGGTTTCCCCATGTTCCATGAATGCGGCATTACGTCGAGATGCACCTGTTGCTTTGGAGAAACAAAGGAAAACTCTGCGGGCGACCGTAAGATTCTTGGAGCCTGGAGTCTGCTATAAGAGAAAACCGATACAAATCTCATAATTTAACGACATTTTATTAACAGATGAACACGTCTCAACGCGGATTATTAAACTCGACCCTCATTGTGGACGTCAAATAAAGAGTGGAATAAAACATAATAACTGGCACGTAGTCTGTCATCACTTCCTTGGTGGATGGGATCAGGCCAATGCCCTTAGGGGAAGGAATTTATAGGAATCTATAATAAATTGATTCAAATTATAAACAAATATTGCACTTTACATAATCCTGACCTTTGTATAGCAGTACCTCAACACTTAAAGTAACAAAAACTACTTTTGCGTCACCGACGGATTCATCAGAATTGTTTCTCTACTATTTAGTTATTGGTATTTTAAAGGCATCACGTGTAGCGTATGATTGGCTCTACAGTACCTTCTCTTAAGCAAGCGAGAGTGTGCTTTTGTTTATGCGCCTTTCTCAACATTATGTTGACCTGGCAGATGAGCTCATCTGGGGCACGTGATCTCGGAACTACTCCTCCCCGCAGCTGAGCCCCTATAGAAAATAATAATAATAATGCGCGAATTAATGGAGATAATGACTAACCAACTGACACATAAAACATCGCCTTAGGAATAACATTCCAACGATTAAAAGAAACTAGTTTGACTGCTAAAGATGACCGAGCAACTGTGCACGAGCGCCCTCGGGGGGCCGCGTGTTTTAGAGTATGCGATGTGGTGTGAAAAAAGAGAAAGGGATGTCAATTTCTAATGTTAGCTTACTTAAACAGTCAGGGGAAAATGTATTGTTGTCTTGCAGTTAGTTAAACAGTTTCTATTTCTTACAATGGTTCAGACGTCACTTTTAGATGGATTTATTTCACCTTCATTTAGCCATTAACAACACATCCCTCACCTATAACACATCTGTATCAGACCACGTTGCCTCCAGTCATCCAAAATTCTTCATATAATGCATCGTCAACCTAAGCTCCGGCAATAACAATAATAATCTTTTTTATGACACTGTATAATCGTAATCACTCAGCATAACCATCATAACATATGTTATAGCATTTTTTATTACTTGTAGGAGACATATAATACCTCATATTTGTTGGTCACCAGCTGGCATTCGTTTCAATTTCAAAATTGATACTAGGACAACTTAACTCACTCTTTACATTCAATTGACACAAAATAAAAAGATGAATTCATGTAAACGTATGATTAACAAAAGTGACTCTTTCAAAAAAACACCTTACAAAGCACTTATGAAGCTTTGTGATTCCTGACCTTGAATACATCATTATGAAATGCTTTTAGTATACGTCAAAGGTCATCGTAGACATGGGCGTCATAGAAAGTGTCACCACATTCTAAAATCCTATAAGGAGGTTAAAGGCCTCATTTGTCTTATCAATAAAGAATGAGGCAGTCATTCACCGGCCCACTGGAGTCCGCATACAACACCACTCACATACATGCAGTAAAATAAGACAAAACAATAATTGTTCTCTGTTTGAGGCAGAGTTCACGGCCGGCGGCATCACACACAGCAAATTTCAGCGAGTTAAATTGACTCCGTCAGACTCAATTTTACCTTTAAGCTGGTGTTTATAATGTCCCAATCTTTTTGCAGTGTGATTTCAACTCACTTCAACACTTTTGCCTAACACCGGAAAATTAACTCAAACTGAATTTTGCTGTGCAGGTGGCCACAGTTGGGAAGGCGGCCACAATCAGCGCACTGAGAAGACATGAGGGACGTCAAGACAGTTGGAGCGAGAGGGAACCATGGGGACACATGGAGTAGAGAGAGTGCGCCGGGAACTGCAAGGTTGGCGGGTTCGAACCCTAGCTGCTCCATGTCCCGTGTCCCTGAGCAAGATACCAAACCCCTAATTGCTCCCTGTGCAAAATGTGAAAAACGATGGTTTAAAAATGAAATGTACGTCATTTTGAATAAAGGCGTCAGCTAAAATGACTTGTAATGTAATCTGATTGACAGAGTGAAACAGGACACAGTGAAATCTGAGGTAAATAATAAAAAGTACTTAGTTTCCTGGACGAGGCGTGACAAGAGGGGTGCAGCGAACAGCAGAGGGCAGCGCGGGACCTCAGCATGGGCCGTGTGCAGTAAAACATGGTGATGCGGGTGATGGAGGATGTGGCAAACACCTCAGCAGAGGGGATTTAAGAGAGTTAGTGATGGTGAGACAACATGAAACAAATGACAAAATCCCATTTGGTGTTTCTTTTTCTGCAGACGATGCAACACCCAAACACAGGCAGAGTACTCAGCAGAAAATGTTCTCTCACACCCTTCTTCTCTCAGCTTTGCATTCGTACAGCTAGGTGAGTCATCATGTTATTTTTACATCTTTATATGCATATACATGTTTTTGCATGCTGTTGCTCTTGACAGGTGGAGCAAATGTATATATGTATGTATATTTATATTTAAGTGCATTGCAGTTGTGTTTTGCATCATTGTTATGCCTGCTGTTCAGCATCTTCTTACAGTCAAAAGACAAGTCTGTGTCTGTCTGTGGCTAATGTTTGGAGGCGTTGAGTTGGTACTGCTCGATGTGTCGGCAGTTCACCCTTTTCCTGTTTCCTCGTCCTTCATGAACTACACAGTAGCATGAGAGATGTTGTGCAGATTGAAGATCTCGCTGTTCTGGCACGTCACCCTACACTGTGACAGCAGCTTCCATCGCTCTCTTCACTCCAGACATCCGTCTGTCCTCACAGTCCCCCTGCTGTCTCTGAGCTATCATGCAACCCCCCCCCCTAACTTTTACACGCATTACAAAAGAGTCCTTAACAACAGACTGCGTTTCAATGTCGCGTAACCTGAGGAAAAATGTGTGTGTGTGTGTGTGTGTGTGTGTGTGTGTGTGTGTGTGTGTGTGTGTGTGTATGTCAGCATGTCAAAAGTAGGTCAGGTCACTTTGTCTTCTTAAGGGTGATTGGCCCATCGTTGTGTCAACATCTATAAGAAGGCAGCGGTTCCTATTGGGATAGTCATTTCTCTACCCCAGAGCATAAAGATGGCTACTGTCGTCCCTGTAAGTATCTGCGTGCTGTGTGTGTGTCTGTGTGTGTGTGTGTGTGTGTGTGGGAATACTTGTCTATCTTTGTGAAAACAGAACAGAAAACAGACTTGAAAAGTGAGGTCGCTTTGAGACAGAGTTCAGACTAAAGGCTTGTAAATGCTTTATTTAAAAGTGACCTCACAAGAAGAGGAGTTGGGTTGTTTGTATGTATTTGTGTGCGCGTGTCAACTCAAACTTTGTGTCTTCTTTGCTAGTAAGTGCTGTGTCATTCCTGAAGTATACAAACCAGTTGAATTGGTGAAATGTGTTATTGATATTAATATTTAGTATGAAAAAAGTTGTGTTTTCTCTTTTATTTAAAACTAAAACTATTGTGTCCATCTGTGTGAAAATCGGTGTGTGTAAAAACTAGCAACTAGTAAAGCGTTGGTGGGAAAATGTGCACGATCAAACGTTGTTACTGTAAATACATCTGCACAGTTTAATCGTCATTGTGTGATCACTCCTCTGCGTGTGCATGTTCGTGTGTGCGTGTTTCGGGTTTCAGACTGAGAGGATGATCAGGTCGCTGCGAGGACGACAGCGACCCAGAAACTAATTAAAATGCTGTAGGTTCTGTGTTAGTGTGTGTAGGAGTGTGACATTTGAAGTGTGAAAGACAGCGGCACACAGCTGAGACTGGAGCTGGTCACATGGTGCCTTTGTATTAGGCTGCAGAGCCCATATCCAGCTACAGCATCTATTATGCTCCAGTAACATATTGGGAGGCTAATATCACTGTGTGATTCTGTGTGAATTTGAATTATTTTGTCTCAATAATTATTTTGAGTAATAAATGTTGTGTAAAACATCTTTATGGGCGGTATAAAGAGAACACGTTCAGCATGGATCATGTATTCCCTCGTTGAACATGAACTGGAAATACAATATTTATCTAAAATACATGTCAAGGCATTTGAGTTGTGCACAAGAGGATCAGGTCCACATGAAAAAACGCACTGAGGCATACTGCTTTTTAACACCTTGAGAAAATAGAGGGATCTTGAAAAAAGTTTAAATAATTACCGCTTGAATCTCCAAACATTTTAGTTCACCCTATCTCCGCACCCACAATTCAGAATTCAGGCTGTAAGGCGCAGCCCACAGCAACAGCTCCCTCATTTGTTATTCACTGATTACAGTATACATGTACTGTGCGGATGTGTGTGTGTACATGGATGTATTGTATATTGGAATGAAGTATGTATGCATGTACAGTATATCTGTGATCCATCTCTTCCGCAACTCAAGACAAATGTCTCACTTCTCACTTCCCCCCCGGCCCCCAGTTTGCATCCTGCTATAGCAGTGCTCAGCCCCTGCAGCTGTTCGGCAGAGGACCCGGACAGGCCAACTATCTGCTTCTCTTCACACAGCGGGGCCCTCGCCTCGCCCCGCGGCCCCGCCTGGCCCTCCACGCTCCGAGGATGAGCCTGAGACAGATCTGTCACATGCTGAAGGTGATGAAGCAGGTCAGGAACGGAGAGGCTGCTGCAACCAGTTCCGCCGCCCCCGCTGTGAGGTGAGGAACGAAGCGGCTACGGTGACCTCTGGCTTGTTGCCAGTAACTGGTGCAGTACGTCGTTACATATCTTGATTCGTAGTGGTTAGTGTCATCATCATGTCACCATCTCAGCTTAGCATGTTAGCATGCTAACGTTTCATCGTTGGGGGCAAGCACAAAAGCAGAGCCGAGGCCGCTGGTTTCACAGGTATTTGTTCACAAAGGAATTGGACAAAGCGGATGGTCGACTTGCTGCTGGCGCCGGAGGAAAATACAATCGCCATACATCCGTTGGAGGGGTTGAGATTCTGGATGAGTGAGCCTGTTGACCGGCTTGTAGCACCATAGGCAAAGTCAAGATGTCGCCAAAGTCATTGGGCTTTACCCACTAGGGGCCCCAAATATCTGTACCAAACTTCCATTGCAATTCACCGGTTAGATATTTCCATCTGGGCCAAAGTTTTGGAACAAGAAATTAACCATCATTGCTGGACCGATGGTAGCTCGCCAGCGGGGCTATAAAACTGTATTAAACAGCATAAAAATACAATGTGTACCTCTCGGATAGTCAAAACATAGAAAATTAGGTAAAGCATATTGTAATATAAAACTGCTTTATTAAGAAGGGGTCCAATATAGTTTCATCTGGCAGTTTTTTTCAGTTTTTCCACAAACCACTTTAAATTCACTAGATCACTATATGAACACACACTGAAGTGATCAGTAGATGTGGAAGTTGAAACCTAGATTAGTAATGTTTATTTCAGAATATTTCTGTGTCGTCTTTTTAAAAATTCTTCTGGTGTGATTGAGTGCACAAGCATCCATCGAGCTGATGACTAATCAGCAAATTCATTATTGATGCGTCGACGGAGGATAATAATTTGTGCCGGTATCTTCCGCCCCAAACCGGACTCTGATCACACCGGCGGTTCGAGGCCACAGGAGTCCAGAGTAAATAATTAAATACTCTCGTGTCACTGCCAGAACAAACACTCAATCACACTTCCTCCTCTCATTACCGTGTCTGGTTTCTCTCTTTCTCTACCCAGGAAGCAAGGCCCCGCCGCCCCGGCCCCCGCGTCGTCCGCCACCAAGTCGGAGAAGAAATGCGTCCCTAGTTGCCTCAGACCCAAGCGCAGCATAAAACGGGTGCGCTGACTAACGGAGCCCGAGCCCACCGCTACCCACCAAGGTACGACTCTCACAGGGACACGGGAGATCATCACCCCTCCGATGGGAAAGGTCACAAAGATCATTCCTATTCGTACAGGTAGCCGCGTGCCCGAGGACGTTGGAGGACGACCTTCGCTTGACCTGCTCCCTGACAGGAGAGGGTGGCGTTATCGCTCTTCCTCAAGATTTTTTTTTTACCGCCTAAAATGACTGAAACTAGAAATTTCACAAATGACATATTGTTCCCTCAGATCCTCTGGAGAGACTAGAGGATTTATATTTCGTTGAGCTGCCTACTCCTCTTATATTTGTTTGTTTCGGAAATGTTTGTTGCATTTGAGTGTTGTTTATTGATAAAACTGAGAACATCTAAATTCTTGAACTCTTTGCATGCAGCGTGATATTGTGAATTTCCTGCAATAAAAAAAAGTTTTAAGAAGTCATTGATAAAACAATTATAACTGCACGCTTGAATCCTGTATTCATTTTTCATAGGTAACAAAGGTTATCGTATGCAGGTATATATTCCTTTAAAGACTATGACCGACACAAATAGTAGCTAAACAAACATCATTAGAGGATTCAAATGCTGACGAAAGATGATTGGTGCACGTTTCCAACAGAGCCCCGCCCCCTTCAAACCAAGAACACTTATGTTGGTTCCGAAATAGTATACGAATACTCTTCAAGGGATAAAGAAAATATATATTTTTGGAAGTTGGCTCTGTGAAGAGCAAAATAAGGGTCCAAACAGGTTCCATCCTTTCAGCACGTTCCTCAGTTAAAAGCTGAGAACTATACAATTATGTTATACAAATACATTGTTATGTGGTGAATTAGCACCGGAACTGGCTCACGGCAGAAATAGACCTTTTGTACATTTTATTCAGACGGCACAGATGGGAAGCGAGAGAAACATACAGTTGGCTGGCGTTTCGCTGGAGCGCTTAAAGAAAAAAGTTCCAGGCCAGAGGTGAAGGTGAGGTCAAGACGACACCCAGAAGCTTGCTATAAAACGCAAAGGCTGAAGGCAACAATGGCGCATTGTCCTGGTCATGAAGGGTCTCATATGCAAAAAGCTGAGGTTCACAGAGGCATTCCACAAGCAACTTTGAAGATGCCCAAAGAAAGCCCATCAATGACCTGGTTCAGGTGGTCTTCTTGAAACATTTACACACCTTGAGGGCTCTGCCATGGGATGCAATGTGCACCCTTTCCTTTGAGAGAGTAATGGGTTGGGCCCTGGGGGTGTCGTTGTCAAAGCGGGACCAATTGGGAGTGGAGCAGACATTATCTCTGCAGTGAAGACGCCTCAAATGTGTCGCCAATACTTTAATCTACACGATCATATCATAAGGAAAAAATGTAAGTGAACAATGAAACAAACAGCTACTAAATCTTTGCCAGACTTGATTCAAAGCTCCCGTGCAACATCTCGTGTGTTCGAGAGTGAACACTGTTGGCTGTAGTGTGCACGCAGTCGTGTGCGAAAGTATCACAGCCGAACGAAAGGTGGTCCGATGGAAAGCTACTGACTACAATGTCCAGAAGTTACATTTCTTTACAGAATCATTATTCTGCAGACAAGATACTGATACTGAGGAAACCACAGCTCACAGAAAACAGAGCTACCCGTGTGTATGTGTGCGCGTTTGTTGTGAACAGGGGATGTCCATGCAAATCCATATACATCTGCTTCTATGTGTGTGTGTGCACCAAGAATCTGAGCAAGGAGTCAGGTTGTAGAACAGAGGAAGCTGAAGCTCTGGTTTCTGTACAGGGCGACATTGGATACCACACTCACACACACACCCACATACGCAAACACACACTCACACGCACGCACAAGTGTTTAGTGACCTGTGAAAGACAACTACGTTGAACAACGTAGTTAATTATAACCTGCACAGCGGCAAGCACCACATAATAAAATAAACAACAAGCAGTCATGTGACAAATGAAATTGTCAGTCAAGAACTAATGAGACAAATTGAGTGTCCTTTTTCCCACACTCCGACAAGCGCTGCAACGCACCGGCAGGAGTCCAAACCGGCACGGGGGGAAAATTATGACAATTATTAAACAGGGGAAAGACGGAGAAAACATTTAAAGGTAGCAACTTGTTAAAAAAATTTGGTAAAGATATTGTAATAAAACTGTAACGGTGGCCTTATCCATGCAATATTTGGATGAGAAAATGTTAACATTAATTGGTTAATAACTTAATCAGGAACAAAAGGTATTTTCCATATTGTATGGCTGAAATTATGTTCCCAACATTCTCTTTTGTTTCAAGATTATACATAACCCATTATATGTTTAATGCTGACCTGGAATGGAAATACAGAGTATTCAAATTCATGTGATAAAACTATTAGCTCAGCATAATCACGTTATTACAGAGGTGTCATTTCTAAATGCAACACTTGTGTCAAACCTGTTAGTTAGAAAATAAATATCTCAACAATTTTAGCATACTGCGACTTCAAAGAATTGGGGTTGAAATGGCAAGAACTTCAGTTGAGTTAAACATACAGCAGTTATGAAGCAACATATTTGGAGTTAAATGCAAGTCCAGTATTGCTCTCTTTTGGTCCCCACCACCTCCTGCAGGAAATGGCTCTTTGTTTGACTTCGGTCTGGTCTTCTGCCTGAAGCACCTATCCTGAGCTTTTGGAAGCAAAAAGGAGAGACAGCAAACTGGTTGTAGCAGCTTTACACAACTCGAGCGCTGCTGTCACAACAACCCTCACTGACACGCTACCATCCGTTTGCTTAGAGTCCATCGCTCTGTGTTCACATCGAACTTGTCATTTTGAACATGTTTAGTTAAAGGTTTAGTGTCCAGTGTGGGTCCTTAAGTGGGTTATCAGATTGTGAAGTCAGGTGATCGTTATGAATTCGTATGATTACACATCAAGAAAATGTGTCTTCGTCCAAAAATACAAAATAATATCGTACTGTAAAAAAGAAAAAAAGAACTAGCAATAACTCCCTCTTGACACAGGTAGACGTCATCTAAATAAAAATCATTTATTTTTCATTAATATTATCATCATTCTAGAGAGTCCACCGTGCCACTGTCAGAAATGGAGCAGTAGACGTCTGTCTGTTGGGGGACACAGGACGGGGGACGATGAGGGGGGGGCAGACAGGCGGGGGGAGGGAGGGGTTCTCCTTGCTGATTGAAACAATCTGGAGATTATATAAAGGAGGGACGAGGGAGCGAGAAGAGGAAGACGAGGAGGAGTGACTGACCTTTAAAGGTGTGTGTGTGTGTGTGTGTGTGTGTGTGTGTATGAACATATCTGTGAAGAGTGGAACTGGTCCGAGTTACTTTGATCCATTGTCACTGTACACAGTTAATATCACAACTGGGTACAAAACTGAGGTAACATCATCATCTTCTTCTTCTTGTTCCTCCTCTTCTTCTTCTTCATCATCGTCATCTGGTGGGAGGAAAGATGGAAAACCGTTTCAGAAACACAACATTTTACGGAAAAGTCTTCCTTCTGTCGCTGGACTCCAACAACTCCAGGCGGGTTTCAGATAAGTGGCCTTTGGTTTTTCGGATGTGGTACTAACGGGCCGTGCCACAGTTTTTAACGCTACTTGTCGGTCCCTTCAAAACGTGAATAAATTAAAGTCCTGTAACGTGAAAAAAAGCGTATAGTGGTGTTGATGGGAGAAGAATACATGTTTCTAACCATTACCTGCGTTTCATCGTGCCGTAGTGTTGCCACTGGTTACCATGTTATTGTCAGAGTTTGACAGAGACTGCTCCTTTATTATCGGGTCTGCGAGAGGAGAGAGGAACAAACTTTAGTGCTCAGGACTCTTCTAAACGAGACTTGAAGTGTGCAGTAGAGATGTTTCCGTGGAGGAAAGGACCGCGAGACGCTTGGGCCTAATGTTAGACGCCCCTTGCTTGTTTGCATGTATGACGACAGACTCGGAAACTACTTGGAGCCACCGCGGTGGGAATGAGGGGGAATATGCCACGGTCACTCCCAACTGCCATCTGCCTTCTTTACATCTCAATGCTACAAGTCCTGCAACAACGCCCCCAACGTGCGCGTCTCGCTTACAGAAGTAGGGCTGCTCCATGGCCTCCGTGGCCGTCAGCCTCTGTTGGTGGTCGTAACGTAGCAGCTTGTCCAGCAGGTCCAGAGCTTCAGGACTCACCAGGTGCTGGTTCTCCGTCTGCACAAACTGTTCCCAGCGCTTCCTGCTCTGCCTGCACACACACACACGCCAATTAGCACTTTAACATTTCCCCCTAATGCCGCCTGTGCATATTTAAATTAAGTGTTTTGCAGTTATTTACTGTAGATCGTCCACTGTTCAAAAACCATCACACACTGTTACAGTAAAAGTACCACCATATTCAGAGAGTTGCTTATTTGAACTATTTTATGCTAAAACTGTTCTTTTTTTAACCTGTATTCTATATATATATATATATAATATGTACACAGCACATGTCTGTAATATTGTAAACTGCAGGAAAGTGTGAGGGGTCTGTTGGGACCACAAGGCGGCAGAGTCGGAGAGGACTTACTGTCCCAGCAGGTCTTTGAAGCGCGGGTCCAGTTCAATGTGGTATTTGCGCAGGTAACCAAACAGCTCATCCGTCCCAAGGACCTTGGCGATTCGCACCAGCTGAAATGAGAACATTTGAAATATTATGACATGGTTTCCCCGCCCCCACCCCCCACCCCTCAAAAGGCTCTTGTTCTGTTGGACCGGCAGTCCACCTGTCGGAACAGACACCAGAGGCCTTGTGCGAGCTGAGGAGCAAGCCATCAAACACTACCTGCTTTTGTCACATCACATTCAATGTATTGTGAATTCAAAGGAATAATTACATGTATTTATGAAATACCCTTTATGCAGTTGTATACTCTTGTTTGAACTGAACACTTGATAAGTGAAGAGATCCTTCTCAATAACGCACCTGGTCGTAGTTGTCCTGTCCGTGGAAGAAGGGCTCTTTCTGAAATATCATACTGGCCAGCATGCAGCCCAAGCTCCACATGTCCAGGCTGTAATCGTACATCTGAAACACAGGATCATCAAACAGCACTGCCGATGATGAAAACACAAACATCAGTATCATCCATTTGTGCGGACGAAAAAGCTTTCTCTGCCGTGTGTTCTTCTCTTATATTTCTGAAAGTTGTTTAAAAAGGCATCGGCTGGGTTTCGGTGTGGGTTTGTTTTACTTGGTAGTCCACCAGGAGTTCGGGGCCTTTGAAGTAACGCGAGGCCACCCGGACGTTGTACTCCTGGGATGGGTGGTAGAACTCTGCCAAACCCCAGTCTATAAGGCGTAGCTGTGGGAACACACAAGTCATCGTCCTTCATCTTCACAGAACGTCTCTCAAAAAGAGGAGAAAAAACCTCCAGCTTAACGGTTTAATTAACTGTTTAGTTGGAGAATGGCACAGTTAAAGGGGTGTGTTATGAATCTCTGTGGGCATAATCCACATCTGCTTTAATTTGTAGAATGCAGGAAATGCATAATGCTTTCTTGGACAATATAGCAAGATTTGATGCTGTAAAGACAATAATAAAAACGAGCTATAGCAGCACCAACCACTAGGTAGATATGATGGCTGCCAAGACTGATGGAAAGTATTCTGACTGCCAATTATAAAGCAACAATAATCACCTTTCCAAATTGGGGAGAATATGAACATACAACAAAGGGGGAATGATACAATGGAGAGAGAGCAAAACAATATATATACATCAAAAGTCAGTGTCTGTGAGTGAGAGAGAGAATGCGGTGTGTGAAGACAAGAACATGAAAACAGGACTATTTAGGGCACCAGCTACCTTTCTCAACTGGTGGTCGATCATCACATTGTGGGGTTTGACGTCGCGGTGCATGATTCCCATACTGTGACAGTAGTCCAGAGCCTGGACACACACACACACACACGCACATACAATCAGAGCAGACAAATGTATACTCATATTATGAGATCCCAGAACCCAAAATAGAGACAGAAGGGAAAATGTCTCATTCAGAAGATGAGATGCCACTTATTTTTAAAATAAAGGGGGAAAAAAAAGGAGGGGAGGAAGAAGTCAAAAGACTCACCTTGAGTAGTTCATACATATAGAAACGGATATCATAATCTGTCAACTTCTGGTACAACTCCTGCAGGTAAAAGCATTTTTGTCAGGATTTAATTTGAAACGAAAAAGAGAAAGCTGCTGCCTCCTTCACGGATTAAGTAATGACTGAATGATTGCGAGAGGCGGCCACTGTACCTTGAAGTCTGTGTTATTGATGCATTCAAAGACGAGCGCCGGAGTCCTGGACTGTGCCGCCGCCACAAAGAGACGAGAGAAGAGAGGAGACGACATGAGTCAAACACAAGGACGGTGACCGAATGGCCGCGTATCTGAAAAGGCCCCGGCGGGGTCGTGACCTGCACATGAACTGGACGTAAGGAAAGATAGTCGCCCTGTTGCTACTTAATTCCAAGCACACCGTCAAAAAACGGTGTATTTAATAATTAGGACTGTCAAAGTTAACACATTGATCTATGAGATTATTGTGGCCGCGATTAATCCAATAAAATATTTTAACGCAATTAACTGCTAGGCTACATCCACCCTGCAGAGGACCACCACTGTGTCCCTAAAAGACAGGGGTTTGGAAAACGTCCCGGCTAAATGTGGGGAGATTGTTGCCACTTCAAACACAGCCGTCAAATGACGGAGAGCTGAGAGCAAAGCAAAGTGCACGAGGACAACGGGAAGAGTCGCTAGTTCAATGTTGCACCCGGTGGAATTCTGCCTCCAAGATGATCACATTTGAGGAAATTGCACTTTCTTGTTTCTTGTTCTCCTGAGTTTGTACCCTATGGTTGAATGTACTTATTGTACGTCGCTTTGGATAAAAGCGTCCGCTAAATGACATGTAATGTAATCACATACGTGTAGTTTTGTGTTTAAAATAGGATTAAACAACAGTGTGTAAAATACAGGCTTTCTATAGTGATTACTCCTCAATATAGAAGATTTAATCTTTAGAGGAAAGACACTTTTATTAAATTTTTGCGAGGAGTATTTTGGACCGACGTGCCACTAGCGAGCCTACCACTGGGTCTTTGACTGCGTCCACCAGCCGGATGATGTTGGTCCCACCTCGCAAGTTCTCCAGGATCTTGATCTCTCGCTTGATCTTCTTTTTCTTAACCGGCTAAAAAAGTTGTAAAAGTCACACAAGTCAGGTTCTACTACGGGGAAATTCATTTTTCGACGGCTGGAGGCCTCCGAACAATCAGGTTAAGTGGATCCCACCGCTCACCTTCAAGATCTTGACCACCACTTTCTCGTTGTTGGTGATGTTGACCCCCTCTAACATCTTTCTGTTGTTTTAGCCCGGTTTTTCTTGGGTTAGGTGAAACGCGGTCACCGGGGTCTGGGGTTGAAAAAATCCTCCTTCCCTCTGTACAAAAACGTCAACCGGAAGTCATGAAGTTTTTACCCCTCATACAAACATGGGGGGGGGGGGGGGGGGGGTCCTGTTTGTGATCTCAAGACTGGGTGAGCATGGGTATTGAGGCAGAGGTAAAGGGGGGGGGGGGGTCGAAGGGGTTTTGGGAGACTGTGTTATCTTTAATCACACCCTCACAGCTACGGGTCCAATGATTGACACCCATCTGTCACACATGCAAACATCTGTCCCACGTGCCTAACATCTGTCACACATGCCAGCACGGGACCATTAGCTGCTGTGGTCGGACATCACGCGCATGCAACGAGAGCAACCTGCAGCAAACGGAAACGTCCTCACTTCCAGTTGGGCACGTGGGCCTCGTAGTCCCAGTATTCCCGGCTCTTCAGGGTATTGACGTCTGCGTACACGCGGGACTTGCTACCGGCCACCGGACCAGGCATGGCGAGACCCGTGGCACGGGGGCGGTGTCACGCAAAATCCGTCCGGTTGCCCGGGTACGGAACCGGAGATGTACACCGTGCCGTGTCCCCTGGTCGGGTTGTTAGAGACAGCGGGGCTGATGTCGGTGGGGTCTTATGGAACGGGGGAGAATGCAGCTGGGGTCACAAACAGGGGCTTGGAGGCATCGGGACGTTGAGGTAGAGCGGAAACTGAACCCCTAAAAGGCCACAGATGAGGAGCGGGGGGGGGGGGGGGGGTGTCGGTGGTTTAAAATCCCACGGGCTAAAACTCTTGAGTGGGGGAACCGGCAGGCTTCCTGCGCTGGCCGATGGACGGTCGAGGATGGGGGACGTGGTGGGGGAGAAGGGGGAGAGGGGATCCAGTGTTAGCTACGAATCAGATGTTGATGAGATGGATCGGTAGCGGGGGGTCGACGGAGGGAGAGGGGAGATGGGAGAGGGTAGAGGGGATGGGATTGATGGGGGTGGAGCAGCAGATAAATCGATGTTGTTAGCTAACGTTAGCCAGCGATGCTACTTCCGCGCGGAGATGTCGCACCGACGGGGAGCGCGCGGCGCCGGGCACCACCATCGGCGGGGCTCGCGTCATGAGCGACCGGCTGTGCGGTGCGGTGCGGTGGGGTGGGGGGTGGGACGGGCCTGAGGAGCCCGGTGCCAGACGCCCGGGAATCTGGAGGCTTTTTCTTCTGCGGCCACGGACCTCCCCGGTGGCCGAGAGGGCAACGGGAAGCGAAGCGACCTGCGAATGAAGAGGAGCGAGCCGCCCGGATGTGGAGGCGCTGGCTGCCAGAGCGGAGAGGAGGGATGTGGGGGTCCACAGCGCCCCCCAGTGGGGAGGATGTGAAAGGAGCCAAAGTTGAAGGCTTAATTTCTGTCAAAGCGTTTGACAATTTTATCCGTATTCAATTTTCACATTTGTCAAAAACTTTTAAAATAAGAATGGGTCTCTCCAAATAAAAAAACATTGCATATTATGTTTCAGGCATCGTATTATGTTATCAATATGATACTTGGTTGTCATTGGTAAGAATCGGATAATTACAGTGCAGTTTGTCCTACAAATTTTGGGGGGTATTTATTTTTTAGGTTGACAAACAAGAACAATGTATTTCCTTCTTCAGAACTCAACTGGATTTATAGATGAAAAAAAGTTTTATTTGTTAGTGCTGTGTAATCAAATGCTACATACATACAGATAATCTCAGCATGAATGTAGACATACTGTACGGCACCACGTCTCTTTTTCTTTCCTCTCCTAACATCATTCACATGGACTACAGTACAATTTGAAAAAAAGGCTTGGGAAGGGACGAGGAGGAGGAGGAGGAGGAGGCACCAGCTCCCAGGGACAGAACACAGGATCTAACACAGCAAGCATGCAGAGAGCTGGAGACACCAGGGTCTGACGGGGTTATGCAATGGAACTGGGAAGGTCAGAGACAATATTTTTATTTGTGCTTATACAGAAGACGTTCCTCTGCTTTCCCTGACTGATCAAAGCCTGGGATTGATGGAGATGCTTTGCCGTGTTCCTCACTGTCCGTTAACGTTGCTGCATGAGCAATTATCTTTGCTATTATCGTGCACATCGGGTGACGTCAAGTTCTTGGGCACTTGTATTTTTTGGAAAATATGAAACCAGCCTTATTGATTCCTTATGTGTGTTGTATGGTTACACATTTACACTACCACTAAGGAATTCATGTTTGGACTGTGATTTGGCTTTGGAAAAAACAAAACAATCATAGAAGCTGAGCAACAAGATGTTCAAAATAAAAAACAAGCTCATCTTCCCTTCCTCAGCGGGGCCCTGGTCTCTCCTCCGAATACACATTTTCATACAAATTGATAGATTAATAACAAAAAGAATACAAACAAATGAGAAAGCATAAAAAAACAGTACTTCCTTAAGTTGTTCTCAGTTTCACAATGCCAGGTTCAGAAAAAAAATATGGTGTCCAATGAGAGTGACCACCTGACCTCGTATGATGACGGACAGGGACAGAAAGCAAAAGAGGAGAAAGAGGGAAAGTGTTTAAGGCTAAAGACAAAACGAAAAGTGAGTGCCCGAATAAAAAGGAAACACTACAGTCCCCTTGGCCTCCTTCATTTGTATTCAATGCGGCACCCAAAGGAACCACGATCACGTGAACCAATGTGTCCGCTTGGCTCCTCAAGCGCAACTACAATCTCATAGCATTCAGAAGGAGTTCATTCTCTCCGGTAGAAAAACCCAATGAAGGCCCGTTGTGACAGAGTGGAGCTCAGCACGAAACAGGAGAAACATTGTTTGTATTCCTTTTAAAAATCTGAAACTTTGAACACAGGCTCTTTCTGCAAAAACAGCTGAATGAAAAACAAAGAAAATGTATAAAAAAGGGACGCAGGTCTGCGTAAACATTTCTAATGCAATTCTCTACAGTCTAAAGTTCCCTGTTTGACACAATAAGAATTTTCTCACACACACACGTTGCTCTTTGAGATTCCCTGCAACAGACAGATACAATCATTACATGAACTACTCAAAAATAAGGACATCTGTCAAAAACATTTTACGTGGTTGAAAATTGCAAGAATACAAAAACGGTTCTCACATGATTTTAAGAAACACCTTTGACTATATATACGGGCACGCACGCACGCACACTATGTACAGGTTGAGAGATGGACTGTAATGTTCCAAATTGGACACATTCAAAACAAATTAACAGCAGCATTGGCACATGCAGGGATATGCCCATTATATCTGTTTGAAGTAGATATATTTATATATTTTCTTTAATATTTGTCTATATTGACGGGTGAGACAGGGGAGGAACCTGATTTAACGAATGTGAGTACGTGTGTGTCTGAGGGGTTTAGTCAAAACCACCGCTGACAGCGACAGGAGGAGGGGGAGCAAGCAAAACAAAGTAAAAGTGAGAGGAAGAACAAGAGAGGGACAGGACAAGCAATGTCATCAGGCATGAAGAGGGAGTCAAGAAAAACAAGGAAAGAACCCCTGTAGCAGCAAAGACAGTCCCTGTCCGAGTCAGCTAAGATGGATACGGATTCATTAAGTACACCTTTAAACGTACTTGCTCCGGTTGAGAAAAATTAAAATAAAACGAGAGGCGGAAATAAGCAGGAAAAGAAAAGGCAAAGTGTAGCTCCGGGTGCTCGGGAATGACATGGTCACAGTACTTAAATGCTCAGGGCAGCTTAGCAAAGCAACAACAATGTGATGTTCACCTGGTGTGACTGAAGGCAATGAGAACAGCCTACAACGGATGGACAAGAGGACAGGAGGTTAGGGGCGACTGTCTGTTCCAAAGTCTTTAAAAGCATTTATAAGCACTGGGGCACCGGGTAGTCCCCTCCTTCGGCGGTGTGCTGCACCGTGTGATCCTGCAAAGAGCCCAAGTCGCTGAAACGCTCGCCGCACCAAACGCACTTGAACTGGCCCTCCCTGGAGTGCGTGTTCTGGTGTTTGGTCATGTGCTCGCGCTGCTTGAAGCCCTTGTTGCAGTGGTCGCATTTGTACGGCTTCTCCCCCGTGTGCACCCGCCGGTGGCGGTTCAAGTCCGACGAGTACTTGAAGCGCTTCTCGCATTCGGGGCACTTCAGCGGCTTTTCCCGCGACGGGTCGCAGCGGTGCTGGACGAACTCCGAGGAGGAGAGGAAGCGGCGGTCGCACAGCGAGCACTTCAGGGGCTTCTCCTGGCAGTGGGAGTTCTGGTGACGCTGCAGCGTGGAGCTCTTCTTGTAGCCCTTGCCACAAACGTCGCACTTGTAGGGCTTGTCCGGCGACGAGTTGGACGGCTCGCCGCACTTGTGCCGGAGCAGCTCCCCCGACTGGCTGAACTCCTTCTGGCACGAGGCGCACTTGAACAGGTTGTCCATGCCGTGGACGTGCTGGTGGTAGAGGAGGTGCGAGGGCTGCATGAAGCCCTTGTCGCACAAGTTGCATTTGAACGGCCGGTCGCCCGGGTCCTTGTGCGTGCGGCGGTGGCGCACCAGCGCGTACTGCTGCTTGAAGCTCATCTGGCACTCGTCGCAGTGGAAGGGCCGCTCCTCCGAGTGCGTGCGCTCGTGCTGCCGGAGGTCCGACGGCCGCTTGAAGCCCTTGCCGCACGCCGCGCAGCGGAATGGGCGGGAGCCCTGCGGGTGGCAGGGGTGATGGAGGAGCTCGGACGACTCCTTGAAGTGCAACTCGCACAGGTTGCACTTGAACAGGTGCTCGCCCGAGTGCACGTACATGTGGCGCACCAGGTGGGAGCGATGCTTGAAGCTCTTCTCGCATACGGCACACTTGAACGGGCGCTCGCTGCTGTGAGTCCGCTGGTGGTGCTGCAGGTGGGACGACTGGCTGAAGGCCTTGTCGCACGTGTCGCACTTGAAGGGCTTCTCCCCCGTGTGCACCCGCTCGTGCCGCGTGAGTTCCGACAGGTGCCTGAAGCCCTTCTGGCAGACGGAGCATTTGTACGGCCGGTCCCGCGACGACGGGAAGGGCAGGATGGACAAGCTGCTGCTCACCGACGCCCCGTCGCTGGTGGGCTGCTGGGCGTTAGTGGAGTTGGGCGTGACGTTGCCGGAGGAGCCCGGCCGGTAGGTCTTCTCGCATATCGAACACTTCATCGGGTTGGTGCTGTTGTGGGACGTGTGGTGATGGGCTAAGGAGGTGAGCAGGGAGAAGCCCATCTTACACACCCCACACACAAATGGCTTCTGCTCCACCTGAACGCACTGGTGTTCCAGCAAGTCCGTCGCCTGGTGGAAGATCTTCATGCACTGGGTGCACTGGAACGACCTGTCCTGGTTCACCACGCACTGGTGCTCGTGCGGGTTGGCCAGGTGGGAGATGTCGTGTCCACAGGCCCCGCACTTGTGTCCTCCCTCTGCCCCTACCTGCAGGGAGGGCTGCTGGGCCTGGGCGGGGTGCTGCTGCTGACCATGCTGCCCGCCTCCGTGCTGCGGAGTCCCGCCGTGTTGCTGGCTGTGCTGCCCATGCTGGGCCTGCTGCTGCAAAGACGTGGCGTCCTGCTGCAGCACAATGCCATACACTGCACAGCCGAGGGCGCTCTCTGCCCCCGGGGGGATGGTGTGGACGACCGGAGGTGGAGCGGCCGCATGCTGCTGCCAGCCCTCTGACATGCGGGCCCGGGTGTAGGGATTCAGTTTGGCAGCTGGTGTGGCCCAACTGTTGTGAGAATGGGGAGATTGCAGTATGTTTAAGTAATGGGCTGAAGGCTTCAGAGTGTGTTGTAGGAAGGGGGGAAAAAAGCAGAAGAGAAAAAAAAAAACTCACTCCATTATAGCAAGTGGCGAGAAGAACTGGCGTGGGTGCTTGATGAAGGGGCTGTGACATAGAATTCAGCGTAATGCAGATGAGCACGGCTGCGTGGCTATCAGACTCAGACCATCCTGGTCTTTCACGTCATCTGCGGCCTGTATGAAAGAAAAAGGGAATCAAGCAAAGTCAATTTATCAGTAATGGCAAAAAAATGTTTTCTCAACAACAACAACAGTGTGTCCAGCTGATCCAAAGTACTGACAAAACAGGCTGGAACAAAAGAAGATCAAAGTGGAAACAGATTGCTCCTTTTGACACACCAGCTCCAGGAGAGTTATGATTTGTCTGCGTAAACTCATCGGTAAAAAGAGGCGTTGAAAGTTAAATACCGCCAGAGGTGTGTCAGTATTAACAGGTGCTGCTTCTCCCCCTCCGCTCATCGGCGTGTTTACATCAGTCACTATCACCACAGAAGGCACAAAGTCACGCAAAACACCAATGATATGTAACGTTTCCACGGGGCGACGTCGATAAAAGCGTCCCTATTCAATGAAACGTAAACAAATTGAAGATGTGCACCCTGAATGCAGAGTCGCACAGCAAGAGCTCATTCATTAACATAGAGACATGGACACAAGACGTTAGCGTACAATCGGATGTGTTCATCTTTAAATGCTCAACCATTCGCGGATTTAAAAAAAAAGAGAGAAAGTGAGCGTTGGCGGATTATAACGTGTTTTCGTCTGCGGGCAAAGATCACTGTAACCAGGATACCTAGCCTAGCCTAGCCATATGCTAACGCAGCCGCGGGGGCACCGGAAAAGAGCTAACGCTAGCGGACCCGCCACGGGGAAATAACAGCTTAGCAGTAGCCGCTGCAGCGACATCTTTGTTAGTGAGTGGCGCGAGTAAAGACACACTTATGTATGTACACACCTGGTACGTCCAGTAAAACCTGTTCGTATCCCCGAGGAATGCAAGTCTGCCGTAGGTTAGCTGCCGGTTACTCCCCCAAATAACATTAACCTGGGTCCATTCTTCACATCCGCAAACGGTGCTCGGATGCTCTCTTGTTCGGGTGCTGTGGCTCTAAGGGCCGGAAGAAAATTGGGTTTGCGGTGCATTCAAATGGGCGAAAATTACCCACGGCTACCCACCCATCCGTAATCACTCACACAAGTATTTTAATTTCACGTGTACGTTTATTTGGATCCTATAACATGCTCTCGGCTAGCGAAAACGTTGTCATTTTGTGATAAATTGCTAGCTAGCCATCGGCTAGCTTCTGAGCTCCTGCCCGCGCACGGGAACATGAATAAACCATGAGTTAATTGGCTGGCTCGCAACACACACTACAGCAACACACGCATACACACTTACATACGGAACCGTTTATGACGGCTTAGATGTTACACTCGTGCAAACGTTTATCACCTGAACAATTCATTTTGATCTAAAGATTAAATGGGTCTGTTTCTAAGTCAAAACTATCTTTTAGACAGAATTGCATCTTCGTCCCGTTTCACCTGAACCTGTTACCTTTTTTTTGCTGCGGTATAAATGCATTTTTTAAAATATTTTTTTTATTTCGGGGAATATTTTCAGTCCTAGCAGTACACAAAAATCTATGCACTGCACACAAATAATGGCAAATATGTTAAAAGTGGAAATAATTCCATGTCTACCTGTGTTTCAATGGGACACATATTTCTGTTACACCAGACTGTTTATACCGGAAGCGAAGCACTGCGTGGAGGATACGAAGGCCGGTTGTTCGAAGTTTGCCTGAGGGGGAATGCCGAAGGCGAAACCAAAACAAATTATATAATTAAACATCTACGTGAATTATTCTGTGTTCGTTCGGCGCAATTCGTTATGCCCTAACGTCATGCCCGCCGCACACGTCACAAACTCGTCCCAGGATGTTGGTCGGCTACAGCAGCAGCAGCTCGGAGGACGACAGTGAAGCGGCGACCGACCGACACAAAAGGGGGTCTCCAAAGTGTCAAGAGCAAGATGGTGGTAACAATGTCAGCCCAGCGAGGAAGAAACCCAAAATTGAGGAACAGGTTTCTAAAACTAGGTGTGTATATATGTGTGTGCGGCACGTGTGTGCCCTTCCTTTCTGAATCCCGAGTATAACATGATTTACCAGATATATGAAGACACTACACCATGCCTGTTATTGCAGCGTGTGATCACGAGTTAATAAAGTCCTAAAATGAACAACGTCCAACCATTGATGGTAAATCTATTCAAACTGGTTACTTTGAAGGATCATGCTTTATTGGGCTGTGTTTCCATCAGGCTGCCTCTTCCTGGTTGCCTATTGGACATGTTTCCAGAGGATGTGAGCTCCCCGACTGAAGACAGCTCTCTTCATGGCGGACGCGTCCGCTCCTTCAAGCATGAGAGAGGCAGCTGGGCCACTTATGTTTATCTACCATGTAAGACTGACACACTGCCGCTGATGAATCAATCAATCGATCAATTACCAAATGTTTTGCCCAATTTGGATTACTCTCCTCGTGTCTGCACGTTAGACCATCCCGAGGAGGAGTTTGGGGAGCTATTGGAGGAGCTGCTCTCGTTAGCCGGGGCCGGCGGGGCAGTTTGGACCCCGCAGGAGGAGCTCCACCTCAGCCTCTCTCAGACGGTGGTGCTCCGACACCACTGGATCCAGCCCTTCAACCGTAGCCTCAGGGCCGGCCTGGTGCACTGCAAGAGGTTCGCTCAAATAAACCTGTACACAAGAGGAAAAGCTGATATTTTGACTGTATTTCAGTTGCCTCCTCCCCACACAGACATACACACACACACACAGACACACCTTGCTTAACACCGGTGTTAGCCGGCCATTGAGTTTTAGAAAAGAAACAAGAGGCAAGAATTGGACAAGTGAAAAACACCGTAATATATTCTTAAATATAACTATATTGTAGTTATAACTATCTGAAACCAAGGTGAGCAAAGCTGTGTTCGCAGCGGCATCCTAGTAGATCACCTTAAAAATATGTAAAAATTACATCCGAAGGTTACGATTGGTGCAAATGCTGTTCTTTCTGTGTTCCTTGTTGCCAGGTTTGTTTGTTTGGCAGGGCGACTGAGGATCTACTGTAATGATGAGAGGACGAGGTATGGGCGGCCTTTGATCATCTCCCTTTCTCTTTGTTTATATATATATATATTTCTATGTCTACATCAGGCATGAAAATCCCTCACCTTCGGCGAAATTTGCTGTTTTGAAACCAAAATAGGTGACTTACGTGAATCCGTGTTGATCGAGGAGTTTCTCGGGGATGTAGGCGAAGGGTATTCATATTCAGTGAACTGCGAACAGGGTGAGTGATGGTTTCAATAATTGTAATTTTTTCTGGCCTATCTAAGTTAAGTTACCCAGGAGCTTTGTTGACATCGACTTAGCTAACGTTAGCTACAGCTTGATGAGTTGAGCCATTTAACACAGCAGGAGAGAACGCGACGTTGGCCAGCTAGCTAAAGCTCTGGTGGAAAATTATTAGCTAACGCTATCGTTTTTGAGGAGGTAGGAGGAGGTGAGGGGACTGACGAGGCAGAAGGTAAAGTGGTCCACCGTTCTATCAATAAGCTGACCTGCCAACCTGATACGCATTTTGTCTTCAAAGTACGCTGGTACGATTTGTCACTCTACGCAAAACTACTAAGTACTAACTACGCAAAAATTTGTCTAAAATTAATTTTAGACTAGTTGACCAGCACACATTATATGCAATGCAATATAATGCATGACGAGTATTTAATGACTTGTCCCCTATTAGTTGTTGTCAATTCCCACCCCCCCTCGTCGGTACGCAAAAAATGATCCCTGGGACAAAACCAGTTGAAAACCCCTAGAGGCGTAATATCCTTCTCACCTTTTTCACCCTTGACCCGTTTTCATGCTTGAGATATATATATATATATATATATATTATGTGTGTATATATGCATGTGCGTATGTGTACATATATTGTTATGGTCTGTTGATCCCTCCAGGACATTCCTGGGGATGGAAGTGTGTACTGGTCATGCTCCGTTGTTGGACCTGGTCCAAGCAGTGGACAGAACAATGAAGGAGTTTCGTCTGGAGACTTTTTATAAGGTCATTGATAAACACATTTTCACCCACACATTAACACATACTATCCTCTGAGGTCTAGAGCAGGGCTTTTACATGACATGTCATTTAGCTGACACTTTTATCCAAAGCGACTTTCAATAAGTGCATTTCAACCTTATGGATACAAACTACAAATAGAGTGCTACAATTTGTTTTGTTTTTGACTTGTTTGAATTTATTCTGTCTCAGTCTTGATTTGTTGGTTTAAGCAAAAGGGATACGTGTGTTTTAACATCAAAATACACCGTACAGTCTTTCCTATGCTGTTTAAATAATCATCAGTTAGTGAATGACTGTGTATTAATGTTTTTTCTTAAATCGACTAACCTGAAGCAGTAATGTTCCCTGCTGTGTTTTCTAGGAACCATCTTTCCACGTGAGTCTGGCCTGGTGTGTCGGAGACTTGACGGGACAGATGGGGGAGTGCCTTCAGGGGATGCAGGTATGGGGACATCTTGACTGTTCCTCTGTCATTTTTTAAAAAAAAAAGGCTGTTTTGTCAATTTAGACATCTAGTAAATTGGTCAACAGCTGTGTAAATGTCCTAATGAACAGTGGGGTTCTAGAGTCATGATGCAGTACCCCTGACTATCAAACTCAGTAACTGGAGTTCAATAGTGAGTGGCTTGGCCAGCTGATTTGTGTTGTGTCTCTGTTGTTTGACTGCCAAGAGAGTGGTTGATGACCACGAAGAGGGACCATTTCTGCTGCGATTGGACTGCGTAGAGCTGCGCTGCAGGACGGGAAACAAGACTTTCCGCTTCCCTCTGGAGCCCTGAAATTTTATTACTCAGCCTTTACTACGGTGTGAATGTTTGAAGCGATGTTTAAAGTTTAAAGCATGGAAGAGCAGGAAGAGGATGATTAAGGCTCTGGAAAATATTTTAAAAATATGAATTGTATTTTAATACTGTATATGAATAAAGTTGCAACTACTTTTGTACTTCCTTTTGCATGGGACGGTGCTAATACCACGAGGTGTGATCAGTGTTCAGGAAGGTCGTTGTGTCTTTTTTGAGTACAGGCGAAATGCAAAAGTCTCAACAGGAAGTTGTGGCTTTTAATAAGTATTGAAACCTCGCAGAGTGGTTCAAAATGTACCTTAATGGCATTAACACAGGCCATTCCCGTTATAGTGTTCATTTAATCTCAATGATCAACTGTTGTGGAGTACAAATATGTAATTTATTTACTAAGCGTGAACAGCTTTTAAGATGGATGCATCCTCATTTGTGCCTGTGAAAATCCAGTGATTCCAATCAAAAAATGTGATAGAAAATTGAGCTTGAGATATCTAGACCTAGATATTTATCTCCAGAGCGTGTTCGCCAAACTAAATTGAATTTAAGGGAATCAGACCTGGCCGCTAGCTGATTTACCGGGATTTACTTCTAATGGAGCAGTGTTGATTTTGGCAGCTATTTTTGATTTAGTCTTCGTTTTAGTCATTTTAATCCTTCTTAGTTTTCGTCGACAAAAACTTCAGATCTGTCCTTGAAGTAACCACCATAAGTTAAACTCCTGTAACGGGATGAACCATCTTCCTACCTTTGCAGTAGTCTCTTTTTTTTTTATTGGCCATCCAGATTAGGGAAGCATGGTCGGTCACCAGAGTGAAGTCGCGTCCCCAGAGGTAATAACGGAGGCGTTCCAATGCCCATTTTACTGGCTAGAGCTTATACCGTGGAATATCTTTGTTTTCTTGAGTTTCTGACTGGTGTATATATATATATATATAATGGGAATGTTCCTCAAAACTTCCTGGGAGAGTACTGCCCCTATGACTACCTCTGAGGCAGATATTCGGCTTCCTCCAGACCAAGCTTGCACTTTTTGGGGTTGGCTGTTAAGCCGGCTTTCCGGAGAAGTTCTAGGTCAGCTGCCAGCTTTACCAGGCTCTCCCAGGTGTCACTTTGAATGACTACATCCTCTAGATATGCAGCTGCATACTCACAATGTGGCTTTAAAACCCTGTCCATCAGTCACTGGTCTACTCACTGTAGGATTCTTCTTTCACTTCTAGAGCCAACATCTTGTTCAATGGCTGTCCTTCTTGCTCCAGCCACCCTGTAGGGGGGCGATTTTACCTTCTGTTCTGGTTCCGTGGTAATATGATGTTCAATAATTGATGTGTGCCCAGGTTGTGCAGAGAACACATCCAAATTCTGCTGGACCAGCTCCCTGGTTTGTTGTAGCTGTGCTTTTGATAAGCCGGGACCATGAAATACTTCAGCAAGAGGTGATCACATCAGGGGAACCACAACACAGAAGCGCATCTCAGGCATGTCGAACCTGCACTTTTTTAAAAGGTTCACATGTTAGATTTGGGTGGTTTTGCGTCGCCCCAGCTGACATACCTTGTAGTTGACTGGACCAACCTTCTCTGCTACCTCGTAGGGTCCTTGCCAGGAGACACCACAAGAGCTTGTGCCCAGTGGTGGGAATTAAGATGAGCACTTTGTTCCCTGGTAGGAACTCCTGAGGCCCCTCTAATGTACACTCGCCATGTGCCCCCCTCACCATTGGCTACACATCTTTCATATGAGCCTGCATCTTCTCCACATGTTCAACAAGGCTCCGATGGGGACTTGGTTGCTCTTCCCAGGCTTCTTTTGCGATGTCAAGGAGGCCTCTGGGCTGTCTCCCATACAGCAGCTCAAAGGGGGAGGAGCCAGTGGATGAGACATAGGGTAGAAGCTGGTCCCAGCTACAGCCATCTTTATCAACTATCTTCTTCAACATTGATTTAAAGGTTTTGTTAAAGCGTTCAACTAACCCATCAGTTTGAGGTTAATAGACAGAGGTGCAAAGTTGTCTCATCTTGAGAGCCGGCAGATCGCGCAAAAACTGAAAGCTAACCGCAAACAACAATGGAGGACATACAGCCGATCCTGTTCTTGCTTCTCGATATCTGGCTGTTTGTCACAAGGAGACGACAATCTTTGTTTGAGCAAAGGCTACATGTGTGTTGTCTTTCCCCTTGCGGCACGTGCAAATGACGACACTCTTTCAACCAATCAACGTTCTGCAGTAAGTCTAGCTCCACCCTTTGGTACCAAACAACTGTGGCAGGTATCCCAACGGAAGTGTACCCAAAAAGTGGTACGGTACGGTTTGGATTTTTGGTACCATTCTCAACTTTTGGCAGTGGAGACACAAATATAAGGGTACCGACCCGACCCATACCGTACTGCTCGGAGGAAACGCGCCATTAGTGGAATGGCCTCAGGGTACCTTGTTGCGTAATCAAGGATTACCAGAATATATGTGTCCTCTAGACGATTTAACGAGGGGACACATAGTCCATAGACATACAGGAAAATGGCACTATTAATCTGTTATAGGGAGAGGTATGAGGAGACTCCTAAAATGAGGCTTGGGGCAAAAGAAAATTGTCACTCAAAGCAGGTGCAACAATAGTCTATTGTCCATGCCTGGCCAGTGGAACCGGCTTGTAATCCGCTGCCTTGTCTTCTCAACTCTAAGGCGGACCCCAAGGTGGACCCCAGAACATGGCTGTGGGCTAAGTGCAAGACTGTTGAAATATACTGTTTTGGGACAACCAACCAATTCATTTTCTGGCCTTGGTCTCTTTAATAACAGCTTATTTTTTAATATGAAACAATGGAAGGTTAGCTTACCCACACCTGGCACTAGTTTCCCCTCTTTTTCCATGACATCGCTGTGTGCAGACATCCAATTAGCATCCTCCAACTGCCGCTCCGAACCGGCCCCTCAAATTTGGCAGTAGGGAGGCTTCATCCTTCCCACCATCAGTGCCGGCCCTGATGAGAAGGCAAAAAAAACGTGGTCTAGGGTCTACTTTGGAGCTCAGGGAGCTCTTTCTTTCTTCTAGTGCTACACACACCACTTTAGCCACACTTACTGATCAAACATACTGGTGGGAGTGGGCTCTCTATCTTGGCACTTCAATTTTGACCCAAACTTCGTACTTGGGAACCTTCCCTGGTTTTCCTGGCACAGCCAGGGATATAGTGGACACTCCCGACCCACCAGGAGTGGGACTGGAAGGAATGGAACCACCCCAACTTTCAGCTGAAAGCTGCCCTCAACTGTAGTGAGTGTGATGACCCCCGTAGGGTACTCTTTAGAGTCTCCGTGTACGCAGCAGACCGGCACCAACTCCCCAGGATTTAATGGTTCCAGAAGATGGGCTTGGACGAGGGACACAACACTGCCCAAGCCTACCAGCGCTTCTATATCTCTCCCATCCACTTTGACTGGTATCATATGGACTAGTGATGTTTCCTCCACCTAACAGGAGGGGAACAAGTGAGCGAGTATTCCACCCGATGAGTCGGCTTTGTGCATCCATGCACGGTTCCCCGGACAGTCCCAGGATTTGTGGCCTGGCTCTCCATTGTTCAGGTGTCCTAGTCCTAGGTACCTCTTCCCTTGATCTCCGGTTCACCTCAGGGCCCGCTTGGGTTGATTTCAGCAGATCACCTGTAACCCTTTGGCTATCAACCAAGCTAACCAGGTCATCTGATTGCATCATTCATCATTTTCTTGGCCTCATAGCGTAGAGATCGCATGTATTTGTCTATCACAATCCTCTCCAAGACACTTAGCTTCTCCAGTCAGCCAAGCTTTGGTTACCTGACCGAAGTCATACATTTGTGTCAGTCATGGAACCTCTGGGCTTTTGCTGCTAAACTGTAGCCGTACATTGCCAGGATTCCCTTTTTTAAAACCGCATATTCCTTGTCCGGGTCCATAGGGAGGTCAAGGTAGGCTTGCTGGGCTGGGCGGACAAGGAACGGGCCAATGAGATCTGCTCAGGTCTTGTTGGGCCAGCCCTCCCTCTTACTTGTGCGCTCGAAGGCCATCAGGTAGGCCTCTGTATTGTGGCTCTGTCATTTTAGAAATGAACCGGGTGGGATTTGGCTGACTGGTCCTTTCTCTAGGTGTGTGCCTGCCTTCTGCCTTTGATCCTCAACTGACCTTTTATGAACATATCAAATACCTCTGCGTCCTCATCTCAAATTCATCTCCAAACTCCTCACCACTTTCACCCTGTCAAAGCTCGTCCAGGCCTTTAGCTCTAAGATGGACAACTGTAACTAACTTCTTCAAGTGTGTGTGTGAGATGATGGGCAGTCATGTAGAATCGGTTTAGTTTCAGGTGGGAAGGAGTCAAGGATGGCTAGCAAATGTTGCATATAGAAAGCCCTGTCTTTGTCATTTTCAGGTTATAATGATGGGGGGATTGAGATTACATGCCTTGTAATATGCAATCATATCATATGCAATCAAGCACCAGGGAAAAACCTGAGTCTCATTCTGACAAACCCCTGCATCAACGCAAATGATTTCTTAGACAACATCTTTATGTGTGCATGCTGTGTGTGTGTGTGTGTGTGTGTGTGTGTGTTCGTGTGCCCGCAGGATAGTGCCCGCATCCTACACCGTCCATCACAATTCTGCAAATTAGGCGTCATTGACGGCGCCCTCCCCGTTGTCACCTTTTTCACCCCTCCTGATTTTGCAGGTCTGATTTAAACCGCAGGTATGCGAGTAAGTGGACTCTATCCATTTATTCTTGTTTAACCATCACGTGACTAAAATCCACTTTAAAATGTAAAAATGCACAACACAATTGAAACAAAGCCCTTGGACCATCAGGGGATTACAACTTGACCGCATGCAAAAAAACAACAACAACAACATAGTTACACTGAGAAAGCCATAAAAAAGTATCTTTCCTTTTCAACGTAACAACATTAGAGTCAACAGTGTTCAGAAATCATTTCACAACATTCATAACTTTGATTAATTACTCTGGAAAGTGGCCCATACAAACACAGTGCTGTAGCATGAGATTTTTGACTAGGTCAAATCAGGGGGTTATTTAAAAGCTCAGACCAATATAAACATCTTTGTATACAGGCTTACCCAAAGGCAACTAACGTAAAATGCCAT